CTTCCATGGAAGCTCCCAACCACTTGAGTTGATTTTAAAAAAGAAACAAGGCTCTGTGGCTGGGACATCATTGGGATGTCAGGAGGGAGGCCCAGTCCCAGCCAAACTCACCAGCAGCACATGCCGGATGCCCAGCTCAGCTGTCCAGTCCCTTTTGAGCACATTGACACAGATCTCACCGTTGGCGCCAACGTTTGGGTGGAAGATCTTGGTCAGGAAGTAGCCCTTGGGCGGGGAGGCAGGAAAGTCCTTCCCCAGGAGGAGTTTCATACGGAACAGGCCTCCAGCGTATGGGGTCCCCTCTGGAATGCAGGGAGGGGGACTGGGTCAGGAGGCTTAGGACTCCCAGGCACCCCGAACAACCCCAAAGCCCAGTCTCCACAGTCTGGCCCTGAGGCAAGTGCCCACTGCCTCTTCCACCAGACTGGGGGATTCCTGAAACTAGGATGGGGCTAGGCTTCCAGGGGGTCACAGGCACACATCCCCACCTGAGTTAACCCTTTAGGCTCGTGTCACCACCAAGCCCTGGTCTCCACCCGCAGTGCCTATTCACTCCTAAGCAAGGCACAGTCGCACACCCTTCCCAAGAGACAAAGACACGCACACCCTCTCATCTTCCTGGAAAAACATCTACCTGGCAGCCTCTCAGGCCCATGTCAGGACAGTTCTGTGAACTCCACGGTCTTCCCCGCTGCAGCTTCTCATTCACCCACTTGGATCAGGTCAAAAAACCGTGGGAGTTGTTCCAGACCCATGGCTATTCCTCATGCCCCAGCCCCCACATCCAACCCATCAGTAGCCTGGGCAGCTGAGCTCCAGGTCCCCTCCTGAATCAGACCCCACCTCCAAGTCCAGCTGAACGGCTTTTCTCATCTGACGGCTGCCAGCAACGGTCAAGGGCTTCCTGACCAGCCTCCAGCCAGCTTCTACCCCAGCCCCGTCCCCACTGAAGTCAAACTCTGAAGTGATCTGTTACCCCTGCTTTATACCAGCGGCTTCCTTTCCAAACTCCTTGAAGAAGCCTACTAGTCCTAAAAGCTTGTCTTTTTTCTCCTTTCTGTTCTTATAAAGCTCACACTGCGCCTGCCACAGGCCTTCGGGGATCCCCACCCTGCCGCCCGCATCAAGGCCAGCAACTCTGAAGTCCTCCCTGACCCACACCCCAACAAACCCAAATCCAGACTAGGTCCTTCATCACACACTCTTGTAACATCTTCGCTTAAACTAGAAATCAACTGTTAACAACTGAAACGTAGTGCGTGAAGTGACACGCTGAACCACCCTGCATGATCACGCGTAATCATTTGGCTATGGTTGTTATTTCCCCTAAGGTGGCAGCTGGCTCCTTCTCGGTTTGGTCCCCAGAGGCGCGGACACTGGCGGACACTGACGGCAGGAAGGAGTTTGAGATCATCCAGCCTGCCCTCCAGGCCTTTGCTAATATGATTCTCACCACCTGGCACCTTCTTCCCACTCCCACACTTCAGGACGGAGGAACACCCAAACCCAGGTAAGGCCCCCATTAATTATATTCTTTCCTGGCCCCCAGGATTTTCTCACAACACTTACAGGAATGTATACACAATTATTTGTCATTTGTCATGTCCTGCCCTGCACACCATGAGCACAAGGACTAACAGGTATGCCTGTCATGTCCACTTATACTGGGGGCCCCTAGCCCTGCTCTCAAGATGACAAGGATCTAGGAAGTGCCCTCCTGCCTCTCGTTCCCACACTCACCAGGGCCCTCAATAGTGACTTGCAGGTCGGTGAGGTCCTCCTCGTTGGGAAAGACCTTGATGCCATCAGGTGGGTCAGCTGTCAGCGTCGTCACCTCCTTGTACACCAGGCGGATGATGTGGGGGGGCAGGTTCTCCACGTTGGAGTTCTGGGTAGGAGAGAAGGGGGTGAGCTGCGGGCAGAGCCGGGGCCCAGGACCTTCCGCAGGATCTAGGATGCGGTGGCAGCCCTAGTCTTGTCCCTGCAGGCCCAGGCTGTCAATCACCCCCAGCTCCCAGATCCCCTCAACCCGGGATGCTTCCGGCGACCGTCTCAGTCTGGTCTCCCACTAGAAATGGGGCGGATTTCCGAGGGGCTTGAGGATGACTCCACCTTCCCCAAAAGTCCCCTAGTAGCCCCTCAATGATTCCGCGTAGGGCGGAGGCCTATCCTAGTTCCCTTCCCCACCTAACCCTGGAAACCCCAGCTCGAGCATGGAGACGGCGGCGGAGCGTCGTTGCTCCCGGAACACCTACGGGCGGGCCAAAAAGCTTGGAGCATTCCCCGGGGCTCAGCCGGGCCTTCCCCTTCTGCACCGCTACAGGAAGGCCCCTGTACCCATCCCTGGCCCGGGACCCCCTAGGTGGATGCTCCAACGCCCCGAGCCGCCCGCGAGAGACTCCTGAGGCCCCGCCTCCTCCCCCGACCACCCCTCCCAGGCCTGGACACCGCGCTCACCATGACTGCGGCTGGCCGGGGGCGGGTCCCCCCAGCCCCCTTCCTGCGCTTTCCGG